GACTGTAAGCTCTTTGAGGGCAGAGAGCCTGGCTTATACTTCTCTGTGATAATGCGCTCTGGTGAGGTATAGGGGGGAAGCACTGGACTTAGATTGAGGGGATCGAGCTTGAGCACCTCATTTCTCTCTTACCCTGGAGGCCATGAATCGTCCCAGGCTGTGTGGGTAGGTGATGGAGGCCAGAAGCAGGGCCACCAGGGCTGAGTACACAGGCTTGCTGGAAGGGAGAGGAAGGAGGCCAGGCTCACCCCAAGCTATCCCCCATCCAGGGGCCAGAGAGGGGATGCTGGGAGGGAGGGGCAGTCTTCCCATGTCCTAATGACTTCCCTTCTCAGGGTGCCTTCCATCTACTCTGTAGAGATCCCCAGTCTACCTAATGCTGTTGTCTCTCCCACTCCCACCCTCATTTGAATGTAAGTTCCCTGAAGGCAGGAGCTCTGTGTTTTGTTCTTCTTTGTATAAGGTTTGCCTGGGCATGCTCTACCTCACCCCATGTTCCAGATCCCTGTATTTGTTTTCTTCTCCCATTAAACGGAAGCTTCCTGTGGGCAGGGACAGTTTTGCCTCTTTGTATCCCCAGCACTTAGTATGGTGTCTGGCTCATTGTAGGCACATTTGTTGCTGTTCAGTGGTTCAGTCAGGTCCCACTCTTGGTGACCCCATGGACCATAGCACCCCATGTCCCTCTATCCTCCATATCTCCCAAAGTCTGTCCAAGCTTATGTTTGTTGCCTCTATGGCACTATCTATCCATCTCACTCTCTGCCATCCCCTGTTCCTTTTGCCTTCAATTTTTCCCAACATCAGCATCTTTCAAAAGAGTCCCATCCTCTCATTATATGGCCAAAATATCTAAGTTTGGTAGGCACTGAATCGATGTTTATTGATTGACTGATTGATCCTAGATCCTAGATGAAGGCCTGATCATCAGGGCTATGGGCTCAGAATTAGGTAAGGGGGGCCAGGTTAGCAGATGGACACTAAGGAAGAATTGTAGTGAGAAACACTATCCCCTCTGAACTCTCAAAAGCCCCTCATCCTGTTTCATACTCTGTTGCAAGCAGTTTTTTGGTAATCCAGTTTGATCGAACAAACAATGCAAATCTGCGATGGCCAAAGAGGTAGGCACAGCTCACGATCCCACAGACAAACCTAGAAGGAGAGGGCAACAGGAACACTGAAGTCCAAGTTACATCCCCTCCCCATCTCCCTGCCTGGGGGCCCCAGAAATAGGTCAACATGACTACCATTGACTTGTATCTGTAGAGCCCAGGGTTCATAGTCGAATTCTTCCTTGAGGAAAGGGGAGATTGGCAGGCCAGGGCCACTCTGAAAATGGGGTGGGCTGTGCCCAGCCAAGGGCCCATTCATCCTTCTGGGTCTCTAGCCCTTTTTGTACCTACTCACCCAAGTAGTACAAAGAAGAAGATTTCTGGTAGGTCAAAGGGTATATCCACTCGGAATCTAGTCTTGAAGAGGGAAGTGATGGTTTCTGGGGGAAAGATGAAGTAGAAAGGAATCATACATCAGATTCTTAGCTTACTGTACATTGCCTCCACACCCTTACTTCTCAAGTCTCAACTAGGGTATCTCCTTCCCCAGTAGGAAGTCTCCAAAAACTCTTAGCCTGACATTCAAAACCTTATACAACTTATCCACTATTTACCTTGTGTCCCACTGTTCCCGCATAATCATAGAATCTCAAAGCTGGAAGGACCTTTGCTGTTATTCAATCATTTTTTCAATTGTGTCCAACTCTCCATGACCCCATTTGTGGTTTTCTCAGTAAAGATACATTAAGTGGTTTGCCATTTCCTTCCCCAGCTCATGTTACAGATAAGAAAACTGAGCAGACAGGGCTAAGACAGGGTCACACAGCTTGGAAGTGTTTAAGGACAGATTTGAACTCAAGAAAATGAGTGTTCCTGATTCTAAGCATGGCATCACCTTGAAGGCTATCTAATTCAACTAAAACACTTGAATAGGTAAACCTCCTACTATATCCTAATCAAGGGCTCACAGTTAGCATCTGCTTGAAGAGTTCTAAGGATGGGGAGCTCACTACCTGCCTTTCACAAAGCACTGCATTCCTCTTGGAGTTAGCCATAAGGGTTAGGACATTTTTCCTGACTTCAAGCCTCAGTGGGCTTCTTTGTCACTTCCATTCATTCATTGCTCCTGATTCTATCTTCTGGGGCCATGAAAACCTAATTCAAATTCCTCTTCCATCTACTCAAAGAAGTCCCTAGAGACAGTGGAGCAGAAACCCCTCCAGCAATCCTGAACATGGAGCCCTTGAGTTGTTTTTCCTGACAAACAAAGTCCTCCTAGGAGGATGCTCAGGTTTTACTCACCTTGCTCACTGTTGAAGACAGCCAGGAGTCGGAACATGAAGGCCCCACAGACCGAGGAGAAAAAGCCCCTCCAGTAATCCCAGACAGCAAAGTGGGAGGACATGACCTCGATGCTGAACAGGACCCCTGCGTGGGGAGGGGCCGGCCACAAGAGGCTCAGTGCAGCCTCTCCACCAGACCTGATGGCTAATGAGCACCCCCCAGCAGGAGTTCCCAGCTGCAAGAGGAACCCTTCCACCACTCATTCCCACACTGGACATTATCTGATCAAAAAGGACCTATAATACTAGATCAAATCCCACCTACTCCAGGAAGCCTTCACTGATCATGCCCTTTTCAGAGTGTAGCAGACAGAGCCCTAAGCCTAGAGTCAGAAGATACAGGTTTGAATGATGAAACCACAGATTGAGGGTTGGAAGACACCCTGGAGGTCATCAATTCCAACCCCATCACTTTACAGATGAGGAAACTGAGGCCTAGACAGACAAACCTGGTTTTGAACCCAGGTCCTCTGACTCCAAAACTAACCAGCTCTCTAGTTCTGGCTCGGCCATTTAGCTGTGTGAACTTAGGGAAGCCCACGTCTCCTCTGCATTTGGAATCAGAGGGAGTAGGATTCAATCTCAGCTCTTCCACTCACTACCAGAGCATCCCAGGATAAGTCATAGGCTCATAGGATCAGAGCATCATAGATTTGGAAGTGGAAGGGACCTTAGATGTCTTGAATTCCAACCCCTTTATTTTCAGGTGAGGAAACTGAGGCCCACAGAGAAAAAATAATTTGCCCAAGGCCACAGACAGAGTCAGAAGTTGAACACAGGGACTCGAATTCCAAACTGCCAATTAGAAATCCTCTGGGCCTCAGCTTCCTCATCTGCAAGATGGGGATAATAATACTTTTACCATCAATACCACAGGCATGTGGGGAGAGTACTTTGCAAAGGGCAACAGCAATAGGCCTTTTTCATTATTCTCTGCATTTCTAAAGCGCTTAGTGTGTGTACCACCTAATTTAGTGTCCAGTTCTAATGTTGCTGTTCAATCCTGTCCAACTCTCTGTGACCCCATTTGGGATTTACTTGGCAAAGATACCAGAGTGGTTTGCCATTTACTTCCCCAGATCATTTTACAGATGAGGAAACTGAGGGAAACAGGGTAAAGTGACTTGCCCAGGGTCACACAGCCAGTAAGTGTCTTTTGCTGGATTTGAAGTCAGGAAGATGAGTCTTGCTGATGCCAGGCCCAGAGCTCTATGAACTATGGCACTACCTAGCTGCCCCTAATGTCCTAATACTGTCTTACATTGTTTCCCATTGTCTCATCTCCC